GCTACAACAGTTTTGGCGTCATTTTTCGATATGCGCAAAAGGTGTGAGCGACTGAGTTTCATAGTACCTATAATACCTGAGGCAATTTCGACCCCAAATTAATGTTTTTAAAATTAATTAAATAAAGATTTTTCAAAATTAGAGCATTTTAGATTTAAAAAAGAAACAAAAACGAAACACAAAGAAACAAACAAAAAAAAGTTACGTTACAAATTTACTTTTCGACCCCCCCCCCCCTCGTCACAAAGTGTCACATATTCTTGACCACCCCCCCCCCCACCCCCAAGCCCCTGAGCGTGACTTAATGTGNGGGGGGGGGGGGGGGGGGGGGGGGGGGGGGGGCGTGATTATACGTTACAATAATGTAGAACTTACTATGTTGGGCGAGAGTTAGCATAGAACTCTGTATGTTGGGTGAGAGTTAACATAGAACTCAGTATGTTGGGCGAGAGTTAGCATAGAATCTAGTATGTTGGGTGAGAGCCAGCATAGATCTTTGAATGTTGGGTGAGAGTTAGAATACATTGATGGCTTTAATCAAACATCACTAATCTCTTATGTAGAGAAGGTTGTGACCAAATGTTTATAATTATATTCAAATGTGTGATTTCTTTGTTGTAGCATTCTTTAAAATGATCTATTTGATCCTATGTATTGAGTGTTAGAAATCGTTGTCTGCTAACAAAGTTCATTTCCATGTAGCTAAATTGTATCACTATAATTACACTGGTTCGGTTCATACATTTAAATTAATGTTTCCTGCTAAATAAAATAATTCAATACAGTATAAGACCTACATGCATTGTGTTGGATTGCAAGAATGACCAGTATACGTTTGTCCAATAGTATTACTGTAGGTTACTGTAGGCCCTACCGGTTTTTCGTGGAGTGAGAGGGGGGGTGGGGTCGCCATCCATGAATGACGTCACGCACTAAAAGAGAGTAAAATCTAGTTTCTGATCTATACACCCATCTAAAAGGCCTTCAGATCCAAATTCGTCTTGTTTTTTTGGAACTAATACAGACCAACAGGAGTTCCCCACGTCATTTGCATGTGAGATCATCAAAGACCCCCAGCTGCAGTGTCAACAGCGGTTTTCTGACTTGGATTTAAAGGCAGATGATGTTAGACTTTTTCTAAACCAATTTGAAGCAGATGTGGCCAGTCTCCCAGGTGAACGGCACCTGGAGTTTATTGAGTTGCAAGCAAATGACCTACTTAGGGACAAGTAAAAAGAAGGACCGGTGGGTTTTTAACTAGTTTTCGCCCAAGGAAGACTTTCCTAATGTCAAAACATTTGCATCAATGTACCTTTCAATCTTTGGAACAACCTGCCGGTGTGAACAAACATTTTCAAGAACAAAAGAAGTGAAGAACGATTTGAGAACAAATTTGTCAGATGATCATCTCAGGTCAGTGTTGATGTTAGGGACATGAAATCTAAATCCAGAAATGTCTGCTAATCTATTTTGGCATCCAGGAAACAATTTCACCATTCCCACTTTTACAGGTGTTCATGTGTAGTGTATCAATGTGTTATTAAATAATAACTGAATGAAATAATAATACATAAATGATTAAAAACAACATCCATGTTTTGATTCTTTTTTATTTGGACCTAAAGTGTGTATTCGGCCCCCGAGCTGCTGTTTGATAGTTAATGCGGCCCTCAGGCTGAAAAGTTTGGAGACCCCTGTGCTAAACTATTGGTTGATAGACAGAGTTGGGTGCATCCATTTAATTGCTTCCTATGTAGAGTTGATTCAATTTTACAAGAACAACAAAATTACTAATAAATAATAGAAGTCAAGATTGTTGAATAATATATGTTTTTTTTCAAATGTCATGTCACATTCATATACGCACATGTAATCATAAATGAAAACTAAATAATAGATTACTTCCCATTTAATTTGTTATTACTTCTAAACACCAATCTAATCAATTGCTTTTATTTGCATACACATCTGTGACAAATGCTATAGCAACCACATGTATAAAATAATTTGCTCTTATTTCAAAAACACTGATGGACAGTTTACAAGAGAAATAAGTTCTAAAATATTAAGTTTCAAGATGGTGTCTGCATGATGTGGCAGATGGCAGCCCAAATACGGGCACAGGTATCTGGATGATGTAGCAGATGGTAGCCCAAATATGGGCACAGGTATCTGGATGATGTAGCAGATGGTAGCCCAAATATGGGCACAGGCCATACAAGTTATACAAAATGTCACAATAATTTAATAACTTAGGAGACACAGTAAAATATGGCAGAGGGCATACAACTTCAATACAAGAAGATGGGATACAGTAACAAGACAAATTAATTTTGTATAGTCATATTTTTTTTTTTAAAAGCACTGGTTTGGCAGGGAAGAAGAGAAAATTTAATTACAGACAATAATGATTATGAAATATTCAAATAAAGAAAGATAGAAAATATGGAGACAAAATCAATGACCAAAACAAAATAGATTGACAACACATGGTTAAATACATGCTAATCAACACATGGATAGATACATGGTAATCAACACATGGATAGATACATGGTAATCCATATAAAAAATGGTTTTAAATAATTATTGTGTATATAATGAAGATCAAGCAAGTGTTTAAAAAGTGAATGTTCCTTGATAGTTGTAAAATTACATTTATGCCATTACATTTTAAAAACTGATGTTCAAGAAGCCAAAGTCTCACATTGCAAAAGAAATAAAAATACAAGAAATTTGCCTTTGAATCTTGACATAATTGAAAAGTTCACCAACAAAGAATGTAATGACTGTAAAGAGTGTAATGAATGGAAAGGGTCATTCTAACTGTCTTCTAAGACCATAAGACTTGAAAGCCTGTGAACTGACTTTGCTGGAGAAGATGTAAAGCCCAGGCTTAAAGTTAAAGAGTAAAATGCAAATAGAATAAATTTCAAATGTACGCTTAAATAGATGGAAACTGAAGAAAATAAATTTGTATTTTAAAAAAAAAAAACTGATGTTCTCAATTTCTCTTCTAATGTTTGGCATGGAATGGAAGAGGATCCCAAGTCTGAATTGGCCAAAAATGGGGAATCAATGACACAAAATATTCTAGTCTGATAGAGTACCAAAATTGAACAATTACATGATAATAAACACAAATGTTATCCATTTAAACAACATTGTATTATTTAGTCATGTACCAGGCAGATAATACTAGTGCACTTGTTCTGTTACACTTAAGTGGGCATCTTCATCTTCAAGTTTTAAAATTACTCTACAGAGGTTTCTGAGAACATCCAGGCCAATAAGACAATTTAATAGTAGGTTGTCTATTATTTAAATAAAGGATAGGCACATGTTAATATTTATATTTAAGAAGTGTATTTTGATGCAACTGTCAATTTTGGCTGCAGTATGAAGTAATTAAAGGAAATAGACCCCTCCACCCCATCTATAGTTTGATGATTTTAAATAATTTCTTTCATTCTGAAATGTTCACCAAAGGCTATGGATGAAAAAGCTGTATTGAACAGAGTTGAAAAATGTTCACACATTACCAGCAGATCAATTATCTTGTCATAGAATCACTGGAATGGTTCTAGTAAAATGGACAATAGAATCATCTGGTCACAAGATACCACTAAAAACACATTTTTGTAAAGATAATTTCTAAGTTTTTTAATGATAACAATAACAGTGGTTTATCCGGCAAACAAGAGAATCATCATGATGGTGAGAGGAAAACAACAAGAGAATCATCATGATGGTGAGAGGAAAACAGCAACAACTCAGTTTTCTAAACTTGATACAACAGAATTAAAAAGATAAATTCCACCCCACTTCCATTAAGTCCAATCACTTTATTCAATATCAAATAACAAAAGAGATAGTCAGAGGGGTGTTGACCTGGCTTTAGCAAGGGATTTGGCAATGTTTTTTTGTAATGTTTCTTGTCATGGGAATTCAAAATGGTTGATCTTAGATCAACAAGACGACCAGAAGCTAATGTGCAGTGGCCTGTGAAGGGGGGTGCAGAGGGGGGGTGGTCTGTCACGGGCTGCACCCCCTCCCCTTACACCAAGAGGCGGCATCTCTGGCCAACTGCAGAGCCCCTTCAAGCAGGGGTGGCAAAATGCTTGGCCAAAACTGGGCAGCACTAACCCGAGCTACGCCACTGCTAATGTGCTTCTATCATATACGTTTTTTTTCCCCTTTTCTCCTCAAATTGTAGTCTGTCCTTTTCAGTGACCCCACTTAAGCGTTGCATTGCCATCAATTATAAAAACTCAACTAAGAATGTTTTGTCTGATTAAACAAAGAAAACTAGCTTTCATGTACAGCAGATTACATAACATAGTCCAACTTGTTACTGCACAATATTTGGCATACTGATAAAGCTCACTAAAGTAAACTGCTATGATCATGTTCACTAACAAAAATACAAATAACAATGGTTCATAAGAAAATAATGTTCATCTTAATAACTTATTAATTCAAAAAACACAGCTAGTTTTCACAATGGTCACAGCACTACTTAATGCAGCAACATACAACTACTTGCACTTGATAAAGGCTTCTTTGATACAACAAATAAAAGCTAAAATTTATAATCCAACAATCCAATGCAGTATGTCAGTGTTTCTCAAACTTTTTTTTTCCAGACCCCGGCACTTTTACATAAATATAGACAACTTCACTTTAACCCGTGGATAAAAACCTAGCCACTGCGCAACACACGTGGCACTAACAAATTCAGTTAAATGGGACTGCAGAAGAAGTTTGCAATGTGAAACATTTCATTCAATAATAGTTATGAATACCTGGTGTACCAGTGCAAAAAGTTAGCTAATTGAAGCCATTCCTTTTGTTGATAATATTCTTCTATACAAAATTATTGGTTTAGGTAGCCCTAGATTTCTCCTGCCCTTCAGACGCATCCCTGCCCTAAAGCCACCCTGACCCCTCCCTGCCCTAAAGCCACCCTGACCCCCTCCCTGCCCTAAAGCCACCCTGACCCATCCCTGCCCTAAAGCCACCCTGACCCATCCCTTGGAAGACAACTATTTACCACAGCTGGTTACTGCATGCATTATTGATATTATTCTAAGCCCTAAAGCCACCCTGACCCAGAGCTACTGTACTGCCCATATTGGGAACCACTGAAATACACAATAGGATTGTTGGCTTAAAACTTTATTCTATAATTTCATAATCATTGTTTAAATATTAATTTAACCCCCAAAAAAATAATGTAAACAAGACATACCTTTATTTTTCTACAGCAACTATGTAAACCATGACAATAATGAAAAACAGCCCACCTACACTAATAATTACTTGGTCAGATTCCGAACCAAGTCGATTTCAGCATTCTTCCTGATTTCATCAAAGGTATATTCTTTAAGAAGTTTGCCATTCTCAAACACCAGCTGCATGACATCCTATTTTTTAAGAGAAATTATAAACATTACATCAAATATTTTCATGTTCATCTCAAGGATCGACAACATATCAACAAAGTGTCTTAAACTCAAACCCTGAAAAATAAGATTTAGAGCAGTGGAATGCCACAACAACTTTAAACAAGATCTAGATCAGACTCACCAAACTTGGGTCACCAGCCCCTTCTTCAGTTGTTGTGTACACATTATTGGAGAGTTCCAATGTTAGTCTACCTTTCTTGCTCTTTTTACCTCTATCAGTAACTGGGTCTTTGAACACATTCACCTACAAGTAAAATACATTTTGTTTGTCTCCACAGATTTATCAGTAAAGAAAATCTACTAAAAATTAACAATATGATAAATATACAAGTTTAGAAGGGGCTGTACTTCAAATATATCTTCATTCTTCAATAACTGTATTTCTTTAGTGCAACCTATTTTTATCTTAAGACACACTAAAACTGACAACCTGACTTCTAGGACGTCCCCCATTTAAATATTATTTAAGGATGATGAGCTGTTTTGATAAGGAGCAGTATCCCAGCATATTATTATTGTTATAATTAGGTACATTTAGATTAGGTTACAATATTGTTCACTAAGTAAAATTAACTTAAAAAATGTATTTTACCAACATGAAAATATTATAAAACCTGTTTGTCATCTCTCATAAATCTAAGATTTCCTTATTTTTACATAACTATTATTGAATAGAGGAAAAATTTTATCAAGGCGGCCCACCTGTATTATCCCATAGACTTTCATACTTAGAGAAATATTAGTGGTGATCAAGAAGACTTATTGGTGATTAAGAAGACTTTTGGTCATTAAGAAGACTTATTGGTCATCAAGAAGACTTATTGGTCATTAAGAAGACTGACTTATTGGTGATTAAGAAGACTTATTGGTCATCAAGAAGACTTATTGGTGATTAAGAAGACTTATTGGTGATCAAGAAGACTTATTGGTGATTAAGAAAACTTATTGAATCAAAGAATCTATTTAGAAAAGGAGGGAACTATGGAATAACACCTTGCTCATCATTGTTACCTCTTTTCCATTTATGACTGCATAGCTGCACTTGAAGGCACACTTCTGAGTGTCTCTGTCTAACTTCTGAAGCAAAGCTCCACCACTGCCGAATGCCACCAACTCTGCACTCCACTGATGTTTCTTCATATTTTCCAGTATCTTTCCTAATGTCTCATAAGATATCCCATCTCCTTGTATCACTCTTAAATATGGAGGCAGCATTTTATATCCCTTGCTGTTCAAAGTGGTGCCAAATTTCTCACCAAGAATCTCTAGTACCTTAAAATCATTGGGGAAAACTTAAAAATTTTGGCCGACAATAAAAAAAAAATTAACAACTGAACTTAAAAAAAAAAAAATTAGAATAAAGCAATATTTTAAGTTGAACAGTAGTGATACAATGGAATTAATTGTGAAGCTACCCCAGAAACCATTTGATAAAACATTTCAAATGTATCTTATCCAAGAAATCTCAGTCATTTATAACTAAAGGAAAATATCCAAAGGTATCCCAATACATTAAGTGGGTTCTGTCAATTTATTAGGCTGCCATAATACAGTAAATTGGACTTTGCTCTTGTCTGATAAGCTAAGATAAGTACATAAATGTAAATATAAAGTCACATAAATCCAAATTGAAGGCCCTACTGCTAAAAGTACTTATGTCTCATCTTTGTCAAAATCAGACTCAACTGTGACCTTTTTCTTATCCGGTTTAGCCAAGTCCCTTATTTAAACAAGCCAAAAAATAAGAATGATCAAATTTTATAGACAAAAAGAATATTTGAATTGGATTATATCCCTATCATTATTTGTGACTTTCAGTACTTTCAACATTAAGATCTTCAATTGCTTTGAATAGATACATAAGTAAAATCCAAAGCTTACATTAAAAATCAGCCTGTAGCTTGCAGGAATCTTTAGTGAGTTAACAGCCTAGTTACAAAGTTTGTTGTCATAACTTCATGAACATTGCACTTGGTTGTAAACCATAAATACCATGTCATAACTTCATGAACATTGCACTTGGTTGTAAACCATAAATACCATGTCATAACTTCATGAACATTGCAGCTGGTTGTAAACCATAAACACCAATGAGTTTGTGTGATTCTTAGCAAGAATTTGTGTCTAGTACTCTTTTAATATGAATTAAATAGTTTGATAGATTTATGTCAATAATGGTAGAATTATTCATTATGCTTAGGGCACATAAAATTATTCATTATGTTTAGGGCACAAAGCATTATTCTCTACACATAGAGCACATAGCATTATTCATTATGCTTAGGGCACATAGCATTATTCATTTCACTTAGGGCACATAGCATTATTCAATATGCTTAGGGCACACAGCATTATTCATTATGCTTAGGGCATAGCCTGGATACAGCATGAGGTTTAATTGACACGTTAAATTAACATTCTCTAAAATTTAAGAGGTGCAATCTTTTCTATAGCAATTGTTTAAGTTATTTAGATGCAATATCAGTAATATTTGTATCTTCTTGTTTTGATATAAAACTTTTATGTTTGCCAACCTTGCAACACAGCAAATATACAAACTGATAGAAATAGACTTAAAGGTGAACAAATCACATACATTTTACAGTGTAAATACACACTCATTGTTTGGGACAAATATAAAGAAATCCAGACATTTTCAAGTGCAAATATTGCATGAATTCAAAGCATTGATAATTAATTTCACTTTTCATTTTTTATTTACAGGTATTATGCTTCTGTTAGTTTTGTACATGTGTTACACATGTGTGTTGGCATATATGAATTTTTCAGGTACTAACATATTACAAATTAAAGAGAACTGGACAATTCAAATTTTTTAAAATGTTAATATAATGATATGTGTCACAACTATTTTATCTATTAAAAAATTCATATATATGGAGAAAATTTTCTTACCTTTACAACTATTTCTGGGGGATCCCCAGAATCGGGTCTGATGACAAGAGCTCCCTTATCTCCCCTTGCAATTATTGCCTCCTTGAGTTCAGTGCCCCAGATCTTCTCACAAGCATTCCAGATGTCATAACTGTCACTCACCACAGCCACTAATCCAGTTGGAAACTTATCTAGCATATTCTTAAAGCCTTCCCTCTCACCATGTTCTCCCCATGTTGTAATTGTGCTAGAAAAGAAAATAACCATACAGTTATTTTATGGTCAATCTTTTAATGTATAGTCTAATTACTTTCATAAGAGATGTATAGTATAAAATCATCACATTTTCCAATTTAAAATTACTTTCATTTGAGATGTTTAGTATAGAATAGTCACATCTCTACACTTTTTAATGAAATCAAAAAATTTTTCAAAAAAATGTAATTCTTTTTTAAATATTTATAGATTATTATTATGTTACAGATTAATATTTTGTACGGGCTTCTTGTATTATGTGGTACGAATGCAGTTGAAGAAAAATTGACATCTTCTGCAAACAATCACATGTGAATCCCGCTTTGATGATAAAGGTCTCCTTAGGGAGGTCTCATTGTTTAGTTTCCAGAACATAGGGGCAAGTCCTACAATGGCTTCTTAAACATAGTTTAGTACCAACCAGAGAGGGGTCAGCTTAAGGGCGAATGTGCAAAGAAGGTCACAAAGATTTTTATCACATCTGAAGACAACAAGTAAAGGGGATGTGGAAAACCCTGTCAGGGTCAGCTGGGAGTAGATGCCGAGTCTTCAAGAATATTTTCTGGCAATTACATTGTGTGGGTGGTAGGTAAGGATGAGTTTTCTTTGACCCTCATTTGTTATAACCAAATTTAAAAGCCTCATTAGTGTGATTGTGCTGATGCATTTAAAAGACTCATTACATGTGATTGTGTTGATACGAGGAAAGATCAACCTGCCAAATAATCAGACCATTATCATGAGGACTGCAAGACGGCGTAGAAAAATCAAGACAAGGTGTAAAATTACACAAAATTACAGAAATAATGATATTAATATTTATTCGTGTGGTAATGTACTCATCACTGAGTATGGTCCCGTGTGCAGATTTATAAGACACAAAGAATAAAACAGCTTGAGTTAAAAGAGAAATTTTAAAAGTTTGTTAATCAACACAACAGGGTTGCTCTAAAGAAGTAACAACCAATCGCGAAGTCTAAAATGGATGAGTAGGAGTCATTTGAAATATGTTACCATTTTTAGTGAACATAAATAAAGCCTCTTGTTTACAATACAAAAAGGTTCGTTTCTTCAGATCAGTCAGAAAAATGCTCTAAGTTGCTTATCTCTTTTAACTTTAATAATACATACTATAAATGTTAAATAATTTTTAAAAGGCAACATTACCTATGCTCCGCTGCAGGTATAGAAAAGCCTGCATTTCTGCACCCATAAAAATTTTTTGCTGTAACAAGTGCAGCGATTGTGTCTGTACCTTGGAAATTGACCAAATGAGCAGCGCCACCTATACCAGCAGACTAAGGGACGGAGAAAAATGAAGGACCTTGTTTATACAAAATTGTATACCCTCTTATTTTCAGATCTCATCTTGACACAGCAACAACCACCCTAACACTGTTATCACCCACCTAATCTCTGGTGCAACACACACACCACTTTTACCACCCACTTAAAGACTGCAACAACCCACCAAAACACTGGTACAACAGAAACTGACACTGCTACAACCCACCTTTACACAGACTTGCTACAAGCCACCTTTACACTGAACTGCTTCAACCCACTATTACACAGACTTGCTACAACCCACCTTGACACTGAACTGCTACAACCCACCTTTACACTGAACTGCTACAATTCACCTAGACATTGCTACAACTAAATTTAATACTACTGCAACCTACATTGACACTACACTAACACAACTCAACTTGACAGTGAGCTGCTACAACCCACCTTAGCACTGAACTTTCACAACCCACCTTGATACTGCTCCAACTCACCTCAACACTGCTACAACCTCTAAATCCAAAGTCATGGAGCTTAAAGGGAAGACTGTCTAAATTTTCAGCTGTATCAAACAAATATTTAGCAATTATTTCCTTCTGGCAGCGAGAATTGGTTGCCACTGTCAAGGGATACCATACTTGAACTAGAAGTGTCTGAAGATGAAAAGCGCATTTTAAAAATATTTAATGTTAGGAGAATTCAAAAAATTAAATAAAACTAATGTAGATCGTTCATAACATTGAATCCACTAAAAGGTAAATGGGCCATCCAGTCATCCATATATTAGTACCAAATAATTCAGTATTTCATCTATACATTTTTGGAAACCCCCATACATATGCACAAATTGAAACCCCCATACATATGCACAAATTGAGCTTTCAATGAAGAAATCTCCAAGAGTGTATCATTCTTGTCAGCCCCACTCTCATGCCCACTGTGATGCAAACTCATTTGCTGCACCAAATGTACACAAAAGGACATCTAGATCAGCGGTTCTTAACCTGTGGGCTGCGACCCTTACACAGGGGTCACCTAAGACCATCAAAAAACACATATTTATGAAGTACCAACGAAAATAATTTTATGCTGGGGGTCACCATAACATGAGGAACTGTATTAAAGGGTCATGGCATCTGGAAGGTTGAGAACCACTGACCTAGATGATAAACTTTGATGCAATGAGGGCTTGTCCTTTAAAGTAGTGGTCCCCCAATGGCGGTCTGTGGACCTTCACTGGTCCGCATGCATAACGCTGCAGGTCCCCATAACATAAATATTTATTGTCAAATAGAAATAAAAGTATAAAAATAAATCATGCAACGGTCCCTGGTAAAATTTCGAAACTTGTTCACCAGTCCGCCAAACTTAAAAGTTTGGGAACCACTGCTTTAAAGGACCTGGCAGTAATATTTCAATTGGAATATTTTGGAAAATGTGTTTTGAAAATGATTTGAGGTTTTTCTCCCCCTTTTCGGGTGTGCAGTTTTTGGTCCAGCCTAACAAAATACTGGATTGTTCTGCTCCCCCCCCCCCCAGTAAGTATTTAAACTAAGGGTGGGCCAACAAATGGAAGTTATTATTATTATTATTATTCATAAATTGTTCTTATATAGTGTGGTACCCCAGTCTAGGGCTAGGCACACCGTGCTTTACATAAAAATTAGCCACAAGAAAATAGAAACATGACAATAAAAACAGTAAGGTAAAACTTTTCATTTAAAAACAGCTTTGTAAAGAGATTGACCTCGCCCACCCAAGTATTATTTACCCCTGTCTAGCCATGGACGGCACCCAGCAACATTGGTTATTGTTTATTTATTTATTTATTTATTTAGGCATTTTTATATAGCGATTATCATAAAGCTCTAAGCGCTTTACAATTATTAAAACATGTAAACTAGGTAAATACAAATGAACATATCGGGAGGGGGGGGGGGGTTGAGAACGAGTGGGAATAGCAGAGTTTGAAGAGATGGGTCTTGAGTGCAGTTTTAAGGCTTGGGTGGGCGGTATATTGCAGATGTGTAATGGGAGAGAATTCCAATGTTTTGGGGCACAGAAAGAGTTGCAAAATGAAAATAAATAAAAATGATTTAGGGACTGTCTATACTCTGATTATCAACTCATGTCTCCGAACGATTTTACGAATCCGCTGGCCCACCGTCATCACCAACGAGGATCTCTGGCGGCGCACACAACAAGAACCAGTGGAAGAGTTAATCTGCCAGCGCAGATGGAGATGGATTGGCCACACCCTCAGAAAGCCCGCATCAAGTATCACGAGACAAGCCCTGACTTGGAACCCCCAGGGTAAGAGAAAAAGAGGTCGACCCAAAACAACTTGGAGAAGGGAACTGGAGGCAGACATCAAAAAGAGTGGGCACAACTGGGGACAGTTGGAGAGACTTGCCCAAGACCGGGATGCCTGGAGAGCCTTTGTTTGTGGCCTATGCCCCAGACGGGACGACAGGCGATGATGAATGATGATGATACTCTGAACAATACAGGAAGTTTGTCAAAAATTGTCACATGCAACAAAACATACAAAGGGTACAGTGGACTTAAGTTGTCACAAGGATCAATATTATCTTTGGATATTTAACCAGTTTTTTGTGTTAACACATGGCATCAGTATGAGCATAATCATAAAACATTGAGGTCCTATTTTTACAGCCTTTGAAAATAATTAGAAATCATGGATTCACATGGGATTTCATATGGGTGATGGCTTTATTAGAGATATAAATATGCAAATAATTGAATATCACATTTTCAGGATAATTATTCAAGAATAATTGCAAAACTGCATGTAAACATTCAGTTGAGACACACACACCCCCAACACACCAGTACGAAAAACTCCTAACTGCCCAAGCCCCAGAGCCCCTCAGGGCATACATAATAAATGGATGTCCTCTAATCGCAGAAATCCATCAAACGTATTCAAACGTACCTCAAAGTAGTTTGTTAGCCAAAAACATTTGGGGTCTGTATTTTCAACTGTAAATAGAACATTTCTAGTTGGTACCACCGTTCCTTCAGGGACAGCTTTGATCCTTAGAGGAATGTAGCCCTTGTGATGCTGTACAACAAAAATAAACATTATCATTTATAACAAATGAGGTGAACCATCACAAAAGCATAATGTGCATTTAATTTTTAAAGTTTTTAGCACCTGGACATTTCTTAAAGTAGATATGGAACTCTTCCATTCAGTCATCAGGTTTCCACTGGTGTTAAAGACAATGGCCAAGAAAGGCTAATCCTGTTTTTCAGATGCTTCCATGGGAGCTGTCTGTAGGGTCAGGTCTCTTAGCTACAGATTCCTTTTCTATTGGTTTGCACAAGGTTTCTGATCTTCTGTGGCTTCCTTTTCCCTGGAATGTTTCTAGCTGGAATTCTATAAGCATGACCACGGTTTCACAAGCAATCTTCATAAAATAATACTCACCCATACTCAATGAAGAAAAGAAAAAAAGTCAAGCATGAAAAAAATGGTGGTACATCAAAAGCAAAGGGGGAATGCAACAAGATTTAAAAGCAAAGTGAAAGTGGCCTAACTGAAAAAAGCTTTATCTCAATAGCATGAAGCTCCCTGATGTACTCCTGATGATTGTTTACATTTTCATCAAATGGCCTTTTCTTCACTTACATTTGATACAACATCAATTCAATAAGTGTGATATTGTTTTATTTTGCTTTCTTTTGTTCTCCTCATGTTAATTCTACAGCACACAGAATCAATTATGATTTGCTTTCAGTCTTTTTGCTTAAACACCAAAACAAAAATGACCAGATTACTTCACCTCTGCTATGTAATTCCATCCTTCTTCATTGAAGACGTCTTGTCCAAAATGTAAGCTGTATATTTCTTTGGCCTCTTTTATTTTTTCTTTAGTAACAACAGGTCCAACAAGCCAGCGTTTTAAAATGTACTGAAGACCAAAAAACACTGTCGAAGAAAACTTTCCTCCACGACTCTCAAAATAAGAACACACAGTGGTAGTTTTGGGTGGATATTGTAAGTGATGGGTAACCTTTAAAAAAAAAGAAAATTCAGAAAATTAAAAACTGTTGTCAAAAACATTTATCCAAAAAAGTCTGCGTGTGTTGCCAGATATGTTAGGCATATAGGAAAATGGTTTGGGCCTTCTAACCTTCATTTTTACGTCAAATTATTATGTGACTAATTAAAATGTTTGATGGATTACCTGGTATCAAATATTTTATTAGCCGAGGGAAATATCTTGGGACAGTGACAATAGTATGCATTGAAGAATGTTTGGGTTCTTCAAAAAAAAAAAAAGTTATTGTGCATTTATTATTTTTAATTAAATATTTAATAGGGGTGTGAAAAGAAAATTAAAAATTTTCATTAACAAAGAATGAAGACGTGTGTATTAATATAAACTAATTAGCAAAATTTTGACAAACTTAAACTGAAACAAGTCTGTGCAGAGGAACATATAAATGATAGCTGTTGATAGTCAAAGGGTGGAGGCAGGCCTGGGCAAATGAACATATAAAAGATAGCTGTTGATAGTCAAAGGCTAGAGGCAGGCCTGGGCAAATGAACATATAAATGATAGCTGTTGATAGTCAAAGGGTGGAGGCAGGCCTGGGCAAATGAACATATAAATGATAGCTGTTGATAGTCAAAGGGTGGAGGCAGGCCTGGGCAAATGAACATATAAATGATAGCTGTCAAAGGGTGGAGGCAGGCCTGGGCAAATGAACATATAAATGATAGCTGTTGATAGTCAAAGGGTGGAGGCAGGCCTGGGCAAATGAACATATAAATGATAGCTGTTGATAGTCAAAGGCTGGTGCAGAATGGGACCGGTTAACCTCGGTTTGCAACCCATTTAAGGGAAGGCAAACTGTGAATTCAATAACCAAATAAAAAAGTTCTTCATGAGGGTGATGTTAATCATGAATTCATTAATGGAATATTGATTTTTTATTATTTGTTTGATGGATGACCTGGCCAGAGAAGTTATTTATTGGATTACTTTTTCATTAGCACAGAACTTTGTTCACCCACACCATAATCTTTTTTTTAAAAAGAATCTTTTATTAACAAAAATATTTTTAATATTGTTGCATTCTGGTACTAAAAAATACCATTTATTTCTGAAAAAATAAATGTATCCACTTCTATGAGCAGACATTAAACACAATCTATGACTGATGATTGCAATCAACAAAATCAATACAAGCAAAGTGGTTGCACTTGTCAGAAAAGTTTAATGAATGAAAGGAATAGCACCTTTTTCTTATGTTCTTTTAAACACAGAACAAAGTAATATCATATTACCCGATATTATAGTATTTTGTTTAGTAATATTTAGAAAAATTAAAATTAATGCTTTTATTTGGGTGTGGTGTGGTCTATATTTATATTTTTTCTTAACATTGGAAGAAATATCAGGAAAATACAATCTTAACTGACTTCAATCATTCACTTTTGAAAATAGTTTTTGTACATATTTGTAAGAATAGAAACCCTAATTCACATAAATAAGAAGTAGAAAACTGTAACAATATTACTAATGCTTTCTTTTGGTAATATGAGAATATTTCAGCTTTATAATCATCCATAATTCATCAATCTGAGCTTCTTTATTTTTAATTTTATAATACAATTTTTCCTTGTCCGTTTGAGCACTGCATTTCCAAGTTTTGTACAGCAATGCCAGATAGACATGAAATTTTATAAGATCGTGATAATTGAAAGTTGAAACCTTTTGTAGGACCGTCAAAGCAAAACTCTCTTCCCTGTTGCAGAGTTTGGTAACAACCCATAATTTCTCTTCTCTTCTTCTTCAATATTTTGAGGGCCCACAATCAAATTGTCAAATTGCAAAGCACAAACAACACATCTGTTGATTTCTAAAGCTTGTTGAGACATCTGTGGATGATGCAAGCCCATATTTTATAAACTGACAAGACTGTGATGCATCTTTGACTTTGCCCTCCAATCATCAATGAGTGACAAACTTATTTTGCTTATTAACATGCAGATTTTTTGTTCACTTGTAGGAGAAAGGTATTATTGCTGGTCAATAATAAGTTGATGAGATTCTTTGTTGAGTCGAAAAACTTGATCTTTACATCATAGGAATTAAGTATAGTCAATACACAATTATGGTGTTTGAAAAGCTACAGTTAAACCATCTTTACTTCTTTTTCTTATAAATATATGAGTTCAATCGTGATAACTGAAAATAAAATAAAATTTATTCTTTGATGCATCCAAGAAATACAATATTATTGTGGTACAAAAACTCTGACCATGTACCATTTTTTTCTTCTGAGCTAGTTCTTTTGGATAAAACATTCTATTTGTCAAAGCTATTCCAACAGCAAATGTTCCAAATTTTAGTGATCTGTATATGGCATTTATGTCATTTTTATGTATGAAGTTACCATAAGTCAATATCCTAACCACAATACTGCCGACAACACAAAGATCCAGAAATGCATCCTGTGTTTCCAGTGTATATTTCTAAATTTAGAATATAACTAGAATTAGCTTTACAAAGCATTTAAGTTTTTATCCCTCATTTTGTGGGTTTTGATTTCATAAATTCTTTATACAAAAGTATTCCTTCAGTTGGCATCATACCTTCATCTAAGTTCAAATGATGTGATGGAGAATAGTGATATCTAAACCTTGGCAGCAACATTTTTAGCATAGGCCAAACTTTATACTGAACAGTTTATCAGTTTTGTCCAGAGTTAGGTTCTCTCATCAACACTATGAAGAAATGTCAACAATGATAAAAAGCAATCATATATACGTATATATATATATATACGTTTATATCAAATATAAGTTGCTATAGATTTTATTTATAACCTAATGGCCAGGGGCAGATCGACATATCAGGCATCGACCAATAGGCTGGTAGATTTTTGGGCCGCTATAGTTGTGATTAATTTAAAATTATTATTGTGGAACAGTAAAAGAAATCTTTTGAACAAAAGATAACTATTTTAACCATGTTTTAATATTTTGGTATTAACATTTAAATGATCTCCTTCCTGTCCAAAATAAAGTCATGTCAAAATATCACCATATGGGCAAAAGCCCAATAAGATAATGAACAAGAGGTTTTAAAGTTGAAACAGAGTTACCACCGGTGCGTTTTAGAAAATGAAAAGTGCTTGACGGATAAGCTGCAGATTATGAACCTTTGTTTAATCCAATTTAAAAATTTCATCAGATGTTGATGATCACATTTTAAAAATATTTGTGTTAATTCGTTTACAGAAAAGATTTACAGGAGGCAGCAAGTTAGCTGCAATTATGGCATGCTCAAACTGAGGAATTTCAATGAAAATGATGAAGTCTTGCATGAAACTTTCAAAGTTTAAAGCAACAAAAATGTTCAGATTTCACACCGATTCATGGGCAAATAGAATTTGTATAGAACTCAGATTTCATTTCTAAATTTGGACAATTTGAAGAAAGGTCTTACAGACAGAACACACTGAATTGTATACAAAAGTAATAGTCTAAATAATAAAGAAAATTGTGAACACAATTTGGAAAAGGATTGACAACAAAACACATTAGTACTTGTTAGAATTGTGCCTTATGCTACTGTATCTTAATTTAAAAAGTATAAATAATATTCAGATGCATATTCAGTACCAGTATTAATAACTTCTTTTTAAACATATTTGCTGACTATTCCACTTTTCCAAGTTTCATGCAAATTAACGTTTTCTAACCTGATAAAATTTATAAAAAGTCTATTGAGACCACTGAGATCAACTTTATTCTGGAAACGAATTGGAAACACTTATGCTGAGGAACTGTGAACCAGACATTAAACTGATTACTGCTAACTTGTGAGGGCGACACATAATTGATTGCCATGAGAATCAAGCAAGGTGTATGTAAATAACATCAAACACAAAGGAGCAAATCTATTATATTATTTTTGTAATCTCTCAATTAAAGTTTTTGTTACATTTCATTTTAGAGAAATAATTATTTTTGGATTTCAATATTACAAGAACAACTAATTTCATTAGAAGTTTACTTAAATATAATTTGGCTTTCATTTATAGCCGAGACATGGCCTATTAAAATATTCTCCATAAACAGTCAATAAGTCTCAGCAGCCTGGCCAGATTCATCTAAATTGCCTTGGGCCTTAGGCGATTCAATCCCTTGATTCACCACTACTGATAACTACACCTTTATTTTTTTAAATAACTGTTTTCCAAATAGCCAAATGAAAATCTTTTACTGTTCATTGGTGTTTCTATCTTAGACATTTGTGAAAAGGGCTGCAGTTTAGGCCAAATTAAGTAGGCCTAAGTCAAGTGTTATGTTATGAAATAATGAATATTTCTTTACTTATTTAACTCCTTCCTCATGGGCATGGGGATTTTGCAATTTAATTTAATAGAATTTTTATCTGGATTCACATTTATTATTTTCCTTAGGCTTTAGGACCTTTAACTTTAAATGTAAAAGTTCACTGACAAAAATTTGTTGTGATATTATTTTGAAAAAAATATTTTTATATTTTTATGAATTGAAAAAAAAAATGTTTAGTTTTGGTTTCTGTTTTCTTTTCTGAGAAAGGGAAATAACTAATATAAAAATCAACTTTCAAATAGCCATATTTAATATTTCTCAGAATTTAATGAATAAAGGGCTTTCCAAGAAAAAAAACCAACAAAAGGCGTAGCCTATAAAAAAATTTTCATTTTAACCTGCAAAATATATTTTTTTAGTAGGCCTATTAATTTTTAACATGCTTTTAAAAAATTCATTTTAATTTCGGCATTGCTGAGCGTGCTTGCCTATCCATGCCATATTACCACTACTACTACTGACAATGGCCTCAATGGGCCATATTTAATTGTTATTATTATCACCACTGTAGTTATAAGAAAAGTAAATTATATTGTAATCTGCAATTAAATTACTAAAATAACATGAATAAACCTTAATAATAAAAATCCAAAGATATATAAATTACTTTGTAGGAATCGGTAACAAGTAGAATGTTAGAAACTCCTATCGCTTCTTGTATCCCAGCATCTGCCATTTTGAAAGCTTGCAAATGACGTCATAGCAACAAGCCGCCCGCACCTCTTAATCTTCTCTAAAGCTTAAGAGCGCTACTACCTGAGATCCGCGAAGCACAAATATAAACTAGGACACGCAGAAAAAACAACAAAAACAACACCAATCCCAATCTATCACAACTGACACAGCACACATCAATTGACCAGCTTACAAATAGGACAGTGGTGAATGAATGAAATAATTGAGTATTGAAATTATTCATAATATTTTTATTATAGTAAGTATCGTCTAACCTTTCTGACTAAACTAATGCACTTTATTTTTTAAAACTTTAAAACTAAGACTAGACTAACTTTATGAATGACATGATGACAATGATTGATGAGTAATGCCGTAGTAATTTGTCTATTTTTACTAGTAGTAGTAGTACTAGTACTAGACATTTACTACAATTACAAGTGTACAAACTTGTAATTGTACAAGTTTTAGACTTTAGTCACTTTGTTTTAGAATTTATTTAGTAGGCCTAAGCCAAGCCTAACTACTAACGGCACGGCCTAAGTAAGTTTAATACATTGCAAACAAGTAAAATTAGAATTTTGTAGATACCACGCTAGACTCTTACTCTAGATTTTAATTTTAATAGAAAGTTAAGGAAAGATAAAAGAGAGAGTCCAGTGGAGAGTTGGCTATCCTAAACTTACTTGGCTATTTATAGAAGAGGCCTAGGCCTAGTAAGTAGTCTGCAGTATAGGCATAGGCTATACTAAGTATTACTATACTACTAACTCTAACTCTAACTACTAAATTACGTCATTTATGTCGTAACTTACTATAACTTAGTTCTACTCACTACTGCTGTCTAAGGCGGGTTTTAATCTTAGTTTTCGCTTTTCTTTTAGTAATTTAAAAAAATTGCTGAGCATTGCATTTTTAAAAAAAAATTAAACTTAAGAATTTTAAAGAATCTCTCAGTCACAAAAACCAGCATTCATAAGTCGAAACTGGTATTTGATTTTATATCAGCTGGGCAAGCACGCTGGTAACTTCTGACAGATGGGACTACAATTGAATTTCTATATCTTTTTGTCCTTACTTAGTTTGATGACAAGAATTCACCCTTATCTAACTGATCTTAAGTAACTGTGATGTAGTTGGTGGGATTATCATATAAAAATTTTAAGTCAATGATTTTTTGTGTGTGTTTGATATAGAGACAGACCAAATGTGATTTTCTGATTTCAACAGAAACTGAAACCAAACCAAAAGTTAAAAATGACATTCGGCGAAACAAAAGCTTAACCAGACTTTCAGCTGAAACCAAAAGATTTAGATATTTTGAATCATGGCATGATATTGTTTAATTTAAATAAAGGAATAAATTGAATAAGCCTAAGGTTCCCTAATTTTTAGTTTAAAAAAATTTAAAACAAAAATAATAATGGAAATGTTACCATTACCTAGGGGTGTGGGGTGGCGTACTGGTCTAATTTTTAAATTATTTTTTTTGCTATTTATATTGAGGGCCAATATGCTCTGGGGAGAGTGGGGGCACATATTCCTTACTATTTATTTTGTGATTTACCTTAACTTCCTCCACACACACACAAACTTCTGAAAGAAATCACAAATACAATTTAAAATTAGAAACCCATGGGTATGATAATTATACCTTTGTCACATGTAGAGGAAGAGATGCTTCAAGGTGGATGGTCAAAAATAAATTGAGATTTCCGTCTTGATACACAAAAATTGTTAAAGGTGTGTGCAGGGTTGGCTGGTCTGCCATTGACCTAGAGCATACCTGTACCTAACCTTACAAGGTATCATGTAATTTCTTAGTATTATCACCTTTTCTGGCTAGATAAGTGAAGATAAATGTTTGTTCAAATTGGGGTGGGTGTTTTAATTGTAGGTTGGAGAGGCCATGGTTGTAAATTGAACAGTCAATATTGCGGTGCTAAATGAGCACAAAGAATGCCAAGAAATGTTTCAACCTGTTGCTGTAGGCCTCATTTAACCTGCGGGCTGTAGTTTGCAGACCCTGTACTACATAATAGTCATAATCAGTTGAAGGGGCTTCATCATCTGAGCATCTAGGCATGTTCCCTTTTGCTCACTCTCTGCTGCAGTGTTTCTTTGGCTGTATTTATTGTGTGGGTGTGATCTGTTAGTTTAAGTAGAAAATTAAGGTTTAAGTTATCATGGAGTGTAGGGCAGTGAAATAATTTATGTGTTACTGTCTAATTTTGATATTTGATGAGGGGGCATGTTGGTGTTATATCTGGCTTTGCAGTGGTAGGGAATAAAAACTTCTATGTTTGTTTGTTAAAGCAAGCTGTGAAAATTATGAATACATGGTAAAATCCGGCTTCAATTGTTACTATGTCGATGATTGCTGTTTGATATGTATTTCACATGGTCCTGATGGAGTAGAAATTAAAAGCTTTTGAAATGAAGTGAACTGTCTTGGTTTGAACATTCTCAAGAAAGTCTCTCATATTTAGCTGCAGCTAGCTTGGTGTTTATTGAGAGTTCTAGTTTCTTATCACCAATTAAGGCGATTGTTGATCATTCTTTATGCAATTTTTCTAATGCAGCAATTCAGCTTTTGGTCCAAAGCTATTAATATCTTCTGTTTATTTTATTTTCTTTCGTTATTAAGGGGGCATTGTTCCAAATTTTGGGTTTTTCATTTTTATTCCAGGTTTCTTTTATAAAATGGAGTATGGCTTTTTTGGACATGGCTCTCATTATGGATTAATCTGAGACCAGTGATTTTCAAAGTTTCTGTTTACTCATTGCTCTGTTGGGCTCAGACTGTGTGTAAATAACTTTGAAGAGAGCAATGCTTGTTTTAGAATCTCTCTCAACAGGCTAAATCACTTTCTATCTTTTTATTAGCTCTGTTAATGGAGGCCAAATGTTTGAAAATTACTGCTTTCTTTCATAATTCTCTGAGTAATAGTTTGGGGTTGCATTTGCACCTGCAATGCAAAGGTTACTCTAAAAGGGACCATGCCTTAGGACTGTATGTGCTTAGATCTAGTTTGGCACCTTATTGTTTGCATTTTGTTTTAGTTTACCTAAACTTGTTTAAACTTTTCTGATGTTAATAGCCTCATTTGCATTCAACTTAATAAAATCTAATATGCACTAATTAATGTCTCATATATTTTCAGACCTGTAAAGTATAATAAGAAAACAATGACAAGCCCTGCAACTATTGATCATCAAGCAGTTCATATAAATTTGACTAAACATGGAACTAATGAAAATAATGTGATTACGAGGCAACCAACTGTCAATACAAGTCAAATACAATATGATGGACACACAGCTATGGCAATATTTACACAATCTCCCACCCCAGTGGTTGCACAAAAGCCTGATCCTAAACTGAAACCAAAAGATTTTGTTATGACGTCATGTGCTGTGCTGTTTCTTTGTAACTTCATTTTTGGACTCCTGGGATATCACTTTGGAGGTATATCACATCTTGAATTAGACTAAACTGGATTTAATGTTTAAAAAATACTCATTAATTGGCTTGTTGCTGGAAAGTTTTGTTTTGATTTTATTTGTAGTCCTCACTAAAAATGACAAAAGCTTTATCATTATAATTATAAACTAACAATAACCTGTCAAAAATTATTGGCAGATAAATTTTAAAATAGTGCACATTAGAAATGATTTGTCAGTAAAGTAAAACATTCATTTTAACAAAAAGTATTATTGCTTTTGAAAAAAAGCTAACTCCTTTAAATTTGTAGCATACCTAACATCCATACCTAAGTAACTATGACATTAATACCTAGGAAACTATGATATTATTTTATTACCATAAAAAATAACAGCTGAAAAAAATTAAGCTATACTTATAATTGCAATATACTAAATCTTGTATAATAGTATCTACAAAACTTTTTTGTTTATTAAAAGAACTGAATGTGTTATCTCCTGGACACACTTTTGTTAAAATTCAACTATAGTAGAAATTATTACAACAGGTTGCACCATAGGATATTAGCTGTCTTTAACGAGTAATATTAATAATTTTGTAAATTCAGCTAAAGAGTAGATAATTGCTCAGAATTAAAATTTTAATTTATGCAAGATAAATAAAAATTAATTCATATACCAAAATGAAAATATTTTGTAATTGGTACTGGAAATCTGTATGTAATGTAGACATGCAACTTTTTTGGTAAATTTACATCTTTGTGTACCTCTTGGAAAAAATATTGCATAGTCTAAACATATATATTATTACATTAAGAAATGGTGTCAGCAGGCCGTCGAGCTTGCGCTCTTTATGCCCTCCCCAACCTGGTATTGGGCCGCGGAGCGGTACGTCGAGGATGTACCTTTGTCAGGACCTTCCCGGTCTCCGGTTGACTTGTCTGTGGTGGCTTGTCGATTAGGAGGCGTCAGCCACCGACCCCCTCGACGTTACCCGGGAAACACGACCACTGGACGCGTCCTGTGTGGGCAGACAAGGGATGTGCTCGGTACTTGCCGTACATAAAACAGCTCCTACAGAGCTGCCAGTTGTGATATTTTTCAACTGGAACAATAGGCAGTGACAGGGTAGGGATCATGATTACAAGTTTCGGTTAATGGATGAGAGGCGAAGGTGGTAACCTCTGGCCGATGATTCTTACTACGCAGCCTTGAGAATCTGTTCCAAGGCAACCGTTTCGTTCCAGCTGCATCGCGAATTAGTTGCGTTGTGGAAACCCACTGTAGAATCCCTCTTATAGGGCGTCTAACGCTTCCCCGGGATGGGTGGGGGAAGATATTAGGACGTAAAATTTTCCATCCCGACTCCTGA